ATCTGTGGACACTATCCACATTTATTTACAGAAATTGTCATCCTGCCTTTTTATTTACTGAAAACTCCTGTCCTGTCTTTTTTTGCAAATTTCATCCTAGCCCTCCCCCCCCCCCCCCCCCCCCCCAAAAAAAATCAAATGGTAGCTCCCTTATACATATATACAGGTAATCAGTGTTAGTATTAGTAAGTATAAATTAGTTATTTTAATCCTATTGTCCGTCAATCCTGGTCATATCTAAAAGAATTTAAATCAGTTTGTAGGAGTTATGAGCATCTGTATTGGAATATGCCTGATCTGGTATATTATCGTTACTTAAAACCATAATATATCTTCATAGAAACAATTTCCACATTTAAAAAAAATCTTTTACTAATGATACTGGAAAGATCCTGAACAAATTTTCAGTTTTATGTGGACAAACCCAAGTAAGAAATGACCACCTCAAAGGAACATAAATAAAACCATACAAATACTACATGCATGCAGGTTCTCGGACACCATCTTGCATACTAAAATCACACCATGCAGAAATGCACCTAATGTGGTCCTCTTATTTTGAGTTTTTGCTGCTATCCAAAATAAAGTTTTGGAACTTATTTTATTGGAATCATTTGGCAATCCTTCCAATCTTCCACTTCTTTACGTAAATCTCTCCAGCGTTGGAGCACACTCAACTAGCTGTGTTCCATTATTGGATCATTTTTAAAAATGTTAATGTATTCATATGCATATAAAAGTTATTTCAAAGTTAAAATGTTGAAAGGAAATCCTCCAATGAAACGTTGCACATGCACAATTTTTTTTTACAGGAATGTGAATATTATATACACGAAGCACTAATAGTACATTGGCCAGTATGTAGATTTGATATTAAATGTCTAGCTAAATAAAATCTATGAACGGTCTGCACTATTTAAAGTAGTGAGACTCTCCTCCATGACAGTCGAACATTAAAACTCAATATTAAATAAGACACTATTTAATAAGTCTATTTTCAGTGTTTGATATAGGTTGACTGTCACTGTGCACAACAGTTCAACATAGAACCCTATGTGGAAAAACCAGAGAACTCGTTTTTGTCAGAAAACACTGTCAAACATCCAAACATACTTAACTTACTATCCACACCGATCTGTGTCCACACTTGTATATATATAAATAAATTTAAAATGAACTTTCTTTATGTATTCATTGACTGTATTTTGTTACGTACATATTCGTTTGCTATTCAGCATGTAACCATAGCTTGTAATTTTATTTTTGAATTTAGGGAGACGGATTTATATAAGAGCACTGCTCTTGTTTCCTAATCCCAATTATTGAATCACTTGTATATTTCGTATTTATGTCTCCTTGTAGCTTTATATATAACGATTTCTTTAATAAAATATGTTTACACTAAGTGTCACGATAAATAACAATATATAACAATTCAAATGTACAAAATGAAAAATATGTAGGATCTTACTGGATATATGTACTAAGGAGGTTTATTCAAGTACTAGTAATCAAAAATTAGAATTAAAAACTGTAGAACTCGTTGAGTGCTTGTTGTTTAAGTTTAACCCTAACGGACTTATGTTTGCAAGAAAAAACACATATTCTTTTATCAAATTTCCTATAGAACAGAATGCTTGGTATATCTCTTCAACTGTCAACTGACTTAAGTAGACACCGAAGACTGTGACAGGTGTTATAGATTAGGAAAAATGGGTGAATGACATGAGACATGTTGATGTCATTGTTTTTGTAACACAGATCGAAGGGTTGGATTGTCGGACAGTATGATTTTAAAGAGAATAAAAAAATACTGTAAAAGAACTGTAGACTTATATATGATATTTTACACTTTACAGAAGAAAATGATATCCCTGGTATATTATTACTTATTGATTTTGAGAAGGCCTTTGACTCTATATCATGGGCATTTCTCTTTGAAACACTAAAGTATTTTAATTTTGGATATTCCATTATGAACTGGATAAAACATTTTACAATGATATTACATCAACTGTCACTCAGAACTGTTGTCTGTTAGACTTTTTCCGTGTGGAGAGAGGCTGTAGACAGGGGGGTACTTTGTCTCCTTACCTTTTCTTGCTATTTGCAGAAATATTAGGCATTTTAGTAAGAAATAGTGATGAGATGAAGGGTATTACGATAGACGATTCAGAGTATATCTTGTCTCAATATGCAGACTACACATCACTTATTTTAGATGGGCCCCCTCCTCACTGGATGCATCTCTCCGTATATTACAGTTCTATCCTGAGATATCAAGACTGAAAATTAATTTAGACAAAACAAACGTTATATTCATAGGTAGTAAAAGACATAGTCACGACAAAATATGTGTAAAGTGGGGACTGAAATGGGGTTCCAGTACCTTCAAATTATTGGGTATCACTTTCTGTGTCGATTTAGATAGAATATTAAACTTAAATATTACAAAAAATGGTCAAAACAGTCACTTACCCCGTTTGGTAAAATAACAATTATAAAGTCGCTAATTACAGTCAAACCTGCTTGAGAGACCACCTGTTTTAAGCAAAAACCTGAATTATAAGACCATTAATTTTAGATCCCTCTGTAGTACATTTCATATAGATTGAACCTGTATTAAAAGACCACCTGTCTTAAAGAGACCACTTTTTTTGCTCTCCCTCAAGTGGTCTCTTAAAACAGGTTTGACTGTATATCAAAATTTATTTATCTGTTCCTGTCCATCCCAGGTCCAGATGATAATATGATACGTCAACTTAATAGTAAAATTTATTCATTCATTTGGGATGATAAACCTGACAAGATAAAGCGGGATCTTCTATGTCAAGAATACTACAGAGGGGCCCTAAAAATTATTAATTTGGGAAATTTTATTTAAAGGTTAAAAATTACTTGGGTTAGAAGATTATTTAAGTCAAAATCTAAATGGATACAATTATTTACCTCCACACAAAATATAAATTTTACAGACACATCATGGGGTATGGACTGTAAGTGACCTGTTAGATGAACATGGAAATATATTGACATATGAAAATTTTGAAATAATATATAATTTCAAACCCATGTTTCTTCAGTTTTATGGGCTTATACAAGCAGTAAAAAAGTGGTTACAAGCCATTGGAATCAACACTGAAAGAGAGAAAAAACAATAGGCTGTTATGCCTTTTAATATTAATATTTTCTTCAAGTCAGAAAAGGATTCAAAGGACATGTATACTATTGTAAACCAAGGTACTATACCTATAGATTTTGCAGCAGAAAAAAATGGGAAGGTATTCTAAATAGAGTTGTAGAAAATTGGAAAAAATACACTTTTGTGTTACCAAGGTTTAAAAAAACACTAGGTTATGTTGGTTTCAATATAGAATTATTCATTATATTTTGGGTACAAACGCTCTACTCTTTAAAATGAACCTTGCAAATTGTAATTTGTGTACATTTTTCAAGAAACAGCCAGAACCTATAGAACATTTATTTTGGAGTTGTCATATTGTAGCCGACATTTGGCACAATCTGAATTCTTTGATCTTCGATATAGTTCATATCGAAATTCCACTAATTATGGATATTGTCATTTTTGGCCTCTATGAAAATTATAAATTGAATTTTATCAAAAATAAAGTTATTTTACTGACAAAGTACTTCATTTACAGATCTAAGATGCAAGATATAAAACCTCATATAAAAGAACTTCAAAATTACATAAAAGAAAACTTGATTTTAGAAAAATATATATTCTCAAAATATTTGAGTGTGGAAGAACACAACTTGTACTGGAACCCCTGGGCTAAGGTCACTGATTAAATTTTAATGGTGTTAATCCATATACATATGTGTGTATATGATTATTTGAAAGTATATGTATATTGTTATACCATATGCATGAACATATTTGTTTATTGCACTATTACTATTATTATTATATTAATGAAAATGTTTTTACTATACCTAATTCATAGATTTCATACTGTTACCCCATAGTATGCGTAGTATGCTTATTTATTTCACTTGCTTGATTATTGTGCCACAAGATAAATATATGTTGATACATAAAAATTCATGAGAAAAAAAAATAAATTATAAAAAAAAGAATAAAAAAATCCCAAAGGGACATTCAAACTCATAAGTTGAAAATAAACTGACAACGCCATGGCAAAAAAAATAGATCAAAAGACAAACAGCAGTACACAAAACACAACATAGAAAACTGAAGACGGAGTAACACGAACCCCACCGAAAAAAAGGGGTGATCTCAAGTACTTCGAAAGGGTAGGCACATCCTGCTCCGGATGTAGCACCAACACATACATATCGAATGTACGTTAATTTACTTTTACCGTGTCCCTAATAACATTCCTTATGATCGTTGGTTCAATATCATTTCACAAAATAATGAATAACCAATATCTACGAAAACTTTAAATTTTCTGATAAAACAAACATTGCATTTTCGGAATAATGAATTATGCCTCGAAAGTGTAATTGTAATGTTTTCTTAACACGACATTTGTGACTCATACACAGAAACCCCCAAATCACCTTACTATGTTATTTTTGCTTATATATCCTTACAGCTTGTCGATTTCTATGTTTTGAAAGATATTGTTTGATGGGAGTTTTGATGAGGGGATAACCTGGGCAATCGTAGTTTTGATATTTCCTTTAATGATCTCTTTTTTAAATAATAATCTAAATAAACAATTTCCAGCAATGATTAATAATGAAAATAAAATGTTTGTATTTCATTGCTGTAGATGTAAGTACTAAGCCTATCCGTCTCCTTAAGATGGTTGATATTTGTTGTTTTGTTTTCTTTTTTCTTATAAAAACATTCTAATTTTCAGCTGAATCAATAAGTTATATGGATATAGGGAAAATGTGCTTATATTATACATCGCATAAGAGTTTGGGTCTCTAAACGCTGCCCTTACCAATGATTAATGAAAGCATTGTATTTTTAAAATGAAACCAGTTTAAGTAAACAAACAAACCATTTGCTGCTCTCTTCGAACTTAAAATCTCTTTCGCAGGCCGTGGTTCAATTTTAGTTCTTTTGAGTATGTTCTTCATCACCTTCCTTAAATTCTTTGAAACCTTTTTCTAAAAAGAAAATTTCATTTAATTTTACCCACTGTAATGTGGATTGAACCTAGTATATTTTTTGCAAGATTTATAAACTAGAGGCTCTAAAGAGCCTGTGTCGTTCACCTTGGTCTATGTGCATATTCAACAAAGGACACTCTCCAACATTGTAGACGAGAATAGAATTCATGAACAAAAACTCTGTTTTGTTGATCTTGTATTGCTGATCATTTAGTCTGTTTAGTTTCTGCTTATCTTCTTAAGTTTTTGCTCAAAACACAAAAGAGGGTAAACAAAAATCCCTATTTAAGGGCAATCACTCCTATAAAGAGTGACAGTCTACTAACTATATCAGCAAAATTTGACTTGTAATAGATCTTGCCTTGCTAATCATTTTTGTGATTTAAAGTGTCTATTTCTCTATTATAATTTTTATCATATCAGTCAAAACGCAAAAAAAAAAATCATAAAATCGTCATTAAAGGGAAATAACTCAAATAAGGAGATGTCCGACTATTTCCTCCATTTGTATTAATTGTAGATCTTGTCTTGCTGATAAGTTTTGCTTATTTAAGTTTCTATTTATTTATTATAATTTTTAAGATATAAGGCAAAAACGCAAAAATTGTCATCAAAGAACAATAGCTGTAATAAGGAGTCGACTTACGATTTTGACCATCAAGCTTATTTGTAGAACTTGTCTTTCTGATCATTTTTGCAATTTAAAGTTTCTCTCTATCTATAACAGTTTTTAATATAATAGGCAAAAATAAAAAAAAATGGTAAAATTTGTCATTTAAGGGCAATAACTCCTATAAGTAGTCACCTGACAGTTTTGACGTCAATGAACAATTGGTACAGCTCAACATTCGGAAAATTTTTGCACTTGTCAGAATTTCTTTTTTTCGAAACGGCTTTCAACATAATAGACAGAATTTGCATTTTACCCCTATGTTCTATTTTTAGCCATGTCGTCCATCTTGGTTGGCAGGCGGGGTCTTTGGACACATTTTTTAAACTAGATAATGATGATTGTTGCCAAGTTTGGTAAAATTTGTTTAGTAGTTTCAGAAGAGAAGATTTTTGTAAAGGTTAACGACGACGGATGATAGACGACGACGGTCGACGGACGCCAAATGATGAGAGAAGCTCACTTGTTTCTTTGGGCCAGGTGAGCTAATAAAGTATGATATAGTATTCAGGATCTTGTAAAACCACAAAATCTTTTGTGGTAGGGATAACAAGAAATAACTCATTTTTGAAATAGTATAAGCAAATTATAGATTTTTGTCAAATGCAGAACGGAATACATAAAGACAGGTATATAGTCTTTCAAATTTATCAATTTGTCTATAAGTTGAGACTTGATATCACAAAAACCGAACAAAGTTAAATGCATGATACGAGTATTTATTTTCCACTTCAATTGTCTTGATTAACACAGCATAAAAATTTAATAAAATTGAGAATGGAAATGGGGAATGTGTCAAAGAGACAACAACCCGACCAAAGGGCAGAAAACAGCCGAAGTTAAACCCATATCTAACTAAAATCAATCGTCATTACTAATCGATCGCATAATGAGTTTCAATATCGATCTCTATAAAAGTATTCCATTCGACCCCATGCTAACACTTTTCTTTATCAAACAAAAGCAAATTTCAATATTCGAATACCTACGGAGGTCTTATCAGTAAATAAAGCCTTGTTGGAAATGATTGTGTTGACTGCCTTGGCCACAAATCCAGCGTCTTCAGAATTTAAACCCATTTCAGAATTTTCATCCGGTGTTTTTTCATCCATTGTAGTAACCATAGTTTCTGTTGACTTTAAAAAATAAATATTTTGTTATATATTAGGCTTAGCATATCTCCTAACATTTCGAAATCACTCTACATAGAACAAGAGGTAAAATATGAAGAAATTCTGAAATTGTAAAAGAAGTAAAATAATTCAGTCCTTTCAAAACTATGCTGATTGTATTGATCGAAAGGAAAAAGGATAGTATAGTGTGTACACTTCGAGGCAAAAATGATATGTGTGATGCCACATTGATGGCATACACTTGTTGAAAATGAAATATTTGACCTTAAATCTTTATTTTGAACATTGCTTTTTGTAAAATTGGTTATAAGACAAGGATACCAAAAAAAGATGTTTAACCTACATTAACATCTTTTTTTAATACCACTTGTAGCGAAATGTCTCTTTTGGCCAACATTGAGTTATGTCTATCAGCATTTATAAACAGATCTTAAAATGTGGCTATTTTTGCAATTGATGCAATTTTTCATAAAATACAAGAAGTTTAAACAAATCGTCAGATACTATTAAAACTATTAACAATGATCATAATAAATGATCATAATGATACAATTTTTGGTTCTCGAATTTAGGGGTCAAATACGTGGTATATTCATAGCTTCGCCTTAGTAGTTTTCTATTAATAATCTTATACCGATTTCAATCATTGCATATTTGTCCAAAAAAGACACTATCCTTGTTACATTTGCAGTTATCAAACACAGTATATATTGGACAATCTGAAAATGAAAGCATTACTATGATTTTACTACACCCGAGAATAATTGAGCTTAAAAAACTCTCAGTGACATTCATTTTTAATATATTCAGTACAGACAAAATAGTTCCTAAAGAGTAAAGTCATCCCTATATGACAATGACACTCAAAATGTGTTATTTACCCGATGATATCTTTTGATGGGGTAATAGTTCGCATATGTAAGTCATTGAAAAGACACTTTGTGATAGATCATAGTTTTGCTGCATCGTACAATAATTGAAATGTCAGCTTTTTTCCAGATAAAAGAGAACTTACAGCTTATAACGTTTTCGTTTAACATATTTGTTTTAAAACACTGACGTCGAAATGATAATGTGACGAAGTTGGGACTAAGAAACATATTACTGTCTAAAACGTTGTCACTTAGAAGAAAAAAAAATCAAGGTTTAGTAAAGTTTCTCAGTAAAGTTTTTATACTGAAGTAAATGCAATTCCTGAACTAAGATTGTGTACAGATTTATATAATAAAGAAAACAAAATTAATGAATCAGTTTGCTTGATTTTCACAGTCTGAATAAAGAAATCGATTTCGACCCTAATTGACCAATACTGGTCGCAATGATTTTTCAACGCAAATATCATGGAGTAAAAAATTCCAAGGGCGTAAACTGCTTCGGTGGATTAAGAAATATCCTTATTATATAAAGAAAATCTAAAATGTCTCTTCTAAAAAGATGCAAAAGATACCAAAGGGACATTTAAACTCATAAGTCGAAAATAAACTGACAACGCCATGGAAAAAAAGAAAAAGATCAATAGACAAACAACAGTACACAAAACACAACATAGAAAACTAAAGACCGAGCAACATGAACCCTACCAAAAAACCGGGGGTGATCTCAGGTGCTCCTGAAGGCAAGTAGATCCTGCTCCTCGCGTGGAACCCGTCGTGTTGCTCATGTTAGTGGAAACCCGGTGATAAGTCTTATTCGATAGGTCACATTCGGGGAAAAGAGGACGCATTGTGGTTATGACAATTGGAATATATCAGTCGTCATCTGTGAAACAGATATTCCATAACAATCAAGAACTCTTGATGGCATCCGTAAAATTTACGTAGAGATGATTTCAACCTCATTTCTTGGAACTCTTTAATTGGTTTAATAGCAACCCTCTATCATGAAAATTATGCTAGGAAATGGAAGCCCTCAAGGTGTTGTTTAGGATTTAAAATACAGATACAAAACATAAATTTAGAACCAAGTGGACGTTTGTCTCGGCTTTTGAGTTTATGATAGTAAAGTTACAAATCTGGTATAAGAGGGACAGACCTAAGTTTAACCCATTAGGTTGTCTTAAAATAAAAAAACTACAATCTTCTATTTTACCTGCTGAAGAACAGATTTTGTATCAGACTGTTTCTCTCCACTATCTACGTAGTAAGCACATTTCATTGGTGTTGACAAGTCAGGTGTCGTTGGTTTAGGCTATTAAAACAAGTGTAGTTAAGTTCATTTACTGTAAACCAACTTATTTTCGCGGATACTTTATTTCGCGTTTATCCCTTTCTAGACCACTTCGCGGCGATTTAATTTCGCGATTTTCAAATTTACTTGATGTATTTTAATCAAGTTTTTCATATTCGCGAAGATTTATATTCGCGTTACTTTTCTACTCGCGAAAGTCGCGAAAATAAATCATTCGCGAAAATTAGTTGGTTTACAGTATTCAACCATTTCATCCTGATATTCATTCAAATGTTAGAAACAATCAACGAGTGACCGAACACACATTTATTGACGTACGCCATTAGCAATTTAGTTAATTTTCTATGCTTTCGGTCATAGGTTATTTTTTTTACTTTGACTTTTTATGTGGCCAATGAAGAATATGCAAGGCACATAACAAAATCCTTCCCTACTCGTCCTAATTCGTTCTGTTGGGATTACGTTGACAACGTCTTGACACATTTATTGTTGTACAGTTGACGACAGAAGTGTGAAACTACTGTATAAAAATCCGTATGATCCTTCTGTCGTAGTCGGTTCTTTTAAAAGAGTATCAGTATGCATTCTAAAGAGACAATGTTTAATTGGAGATTAATTCATAAAAGATATATTTTCATATTCCCCAGGACATAACGCGGAAGTTTTTATAAATCGTAAGTCAGATTACTTAAGACTCTCCGATGTGTTAGACGTATTTGTCTTGTTGTGCATAGAGTGATGTATGATTGTGCATAGGAGTGTATTTAAGAGCATTTCGAGAGTCCAAAACAAGGCATAGAGTGATGTATGATTGTGCATAGGAGTCTATTTAAGAGCATTTCGAGAGTCCAAAACAAGGCATAGAGTGATGTATGATTGTGCATAGGAGTCTATTTAAGAGCATTTCGAGAGTCCAAAACAAGGCATAGAGTGATGTTTGATTGTGCATAGGAGTCTATTTAAGAGCATTTCGAGAGTCCAAAACAAGGCATAGAGTGATGTTTGATTGTGCATAGGAGTCTATTTAAGAGAATTTTGAGAGTTCAAAACAAGGCATAGAGTGATGTTTGATTGTGCATAGGAGTCTATTTAAGAGAATTTCGAGAGTCCAAAACAAGGCATAGAGTGATGTTTGATTGTGCATAGAAGTCTATTTAAGAGCATTTCGAGAGTCTAAAACAAGGCATAGAGTGATGTTTGATTGTGCATAGGAGTCTATTTAAGAGCATTTCGAGAGTCCAAAACAAGGCATAGAGTGATGTTTGATTGTGCATAGGAGTCTATTTAAGAGCATTTCGAGAGTCCAAAACAATGATGTAATATACAATAGGACTCTATGTAAACATTGTATTGTCCTGTTTAAATAGTAATTACATTCGTACTACAGAACAGTAAGTCAAATAGAGATTTTGGCATCATAATGACGATGAGACAATGTTGTCTAATTTATGATCTGCGGCTGAAACGGCACCTTTGACCCTTACAGTTTAGGGCTGGGGTCTCAATTATTTCTCTTGATTATCATTTCCAAACTAAATATACCCACCCCTGCAATTTGAGAATGTTCACATATCTGGAAAGTGGTTGAGATCCGCATCATGGTTAGATGAATTTAATAGGGTCCCAACTACCTGCGATTTAGGTTTGTTCAAATATTGAAAATATTTAAGATCCCAATACCTAACCATACATTTTCGTCTATGAAGTGTAGCAAAAAATTGAACGATATATCCCCAGGGGTGTATATATATTTATTGCGTATAAGGGTACTTTGTTTTTGAGACTTCGTGACAGCCTCCTGGGACAGCCATTACTTGTTTTTGGATGAGTTCATTTTTTTATTTGTATATTGAAGAGAACCAGACTGTACTGCCACCTATAACGACCTTCTTGTAAAGCAGTATCAAAGAATAAAATAACATTGTCCTGACAAAAAACCTGAACATTATAACTACAGTGTGTTGGAAATATTTTTGATCCAGATCCAATAAAGGTTGGAGGATATACCCAAATAACTATTGAAAAGTCGGCAAAGTTCGAAATTTTACTGTAATTGCATAAACCAAAAAATAATTGATTTGTTTCAACGTATATAATATACAAATCACTGGGACGTAATTTATCAGATTAACTAATATGTAAAAAGGTAAATATGTTTTTTTCTCAAGTTTCATAACAATTTTACCGCAGAAAAGCAGATTATATTTCAACAATTTGAAACGAACTTATTCATAATAATAGTTTTCTCGCTTTTGCCTGGCAAACCAATTGGTTTAAAAAATTAAGAATCATCATAAAATATTAGGTATATACTTTTTTGTTTAAATAACTCTGCGGGAATACAAACACCTATGAAGTGAAAGCGGATCGAAGTAATAATAATGACGTAAAGAAAAAGAAACTATTTTGTTTTCCATATCATCTCTTTAGGTAACGTAACAGAATAATCATTAGAAAAGTTAACACGATAGACTATCGGACAAAGAGATCATTTTTTTTAAATGTTGCAGTGGGAGAAGCGTTTTTGGGTAATTGCCCTAGACTGTTGGTGAATTAAGGATGTTCGCTCCTCTTGTTTTTGAATTTTTGCCAGATATTCGGAATCCTCTGGTTTTATCCATGTTTTTCCATTAAGAAATTTTGTCCACTAACCCCTTCTTTTCTTTTCATAATTTTATTACATATAGTTTAAAAAGCCATATCTGAAAATCTTATAAAATCCTTGTTATTTTCTCAATGTTTTTGAAAGAAAAAAGGTGCCAATGTTAAATGTATGAAAAATCTAGAGAGAATTATTTCCCGCCAAATTTTCAATGGCTTATATCTCAAAAACAAGCACACGGACCCTTCATTTTTTTCTGCTTTTTTGGTTCCTTTATATATATACTATAAATTTAGAACAGTCTTTTAAAAAGCTTGTTATTTTAAAACAGAGTAGCGAACATCCTTAACCAGATGCCTATCATTACTACTGTTGATTGTAAGTATGAAAAATAATGCTAATCCACTCGACCTAGGGGTATTTTTCGAAGACTGTCTCTTTATAATCCACTCGACCTAGGGGTATTTTTCGAAGACTGTCTCTTTATAATCCACTCGACCTAGGGGTATTTTTCGAAGACTGTCTCTTTATAATCCACTCGACCTAGGGGTATTTTTCGAAGACTGTCTCTTTATAATCCACTCGACCTAGGGGTATTTTTCGAAGACTGTCTCTTATTACTTACAAGTCGGTTTTTCATTGATCCAATGTTTTCTAAAAAAAAATACATTTGACCGCAATGAAAGTGAATGAACGACGAGATCGATTATTGTTGTATTGTCAGTGATCTTACCAATGTCAGGTCTTTGTAGGTACTTGCAGTCGATTCCATCAGTCTCATTAACGCTTTATTGTTTCCACCTTTGTCCACCATAGCAAATTTATAATCATAGTTTTCAAACAATTTCTTGAAAGCATTAGTATCATTTGAAGTTAAAGGTGGACCAGACTGCAAAATAAAAATAAAAGTCCTCTTCAGTTTGCAATATTTTTAGAAAACTATACATGATTAAGGACTATCATTATATAATATTATTTCATATCGGTTAAGAATTAGCTTCTCTTATTGGATAAAAAGGGGCCACATGACATTCTTTATTCTTCAGTAATAAATTCCATCGGTCATTAACAGAACAAAACGGACCAGAAAACCGGTCGTTAACGGACTTTTTACATGTTAAAGACCGGTGGGGTGGGGTTTCTCTGTTAATGACCGGTGGGGCGTGGTTTCTCTGTTAATGACCGGTGTGGCGTGGTTTCTCTGTTTAGAGAGATGTCCCTTTAATTAAACAGTTTCCTGTTTTCAATTTTATATTCAAATTGTTGAATTGTTTACCATATGTTTTCGTAAATTACAAAATTATAGGAAACTTTATTTAGTATTCATATACCATGTATAATGAAAAATTGCACTTAAATGAATGGCAGTGACTTATAGCTACATGTATTACTACGACTGGTCTTCACTCTTTGCTATAGAAATCGTACGATAACTCGAGTTTGCTTTGAACATTTTGAATTTATGAGAATTTATGAAAACATGGTTCCTCAATGAAATAAACATAATAGTTATTGAAGAACTGTTCATTATCGTGATACATGGACTGCCCACAGGACAGTGGTATTGACTAAGACAGTGATAATGACTGAGCCGTAGGCGAGGTCATTATCGCTATCGCAGTCAATACCACTGTCCTACGGGCAGTCCATGTATCACGATAATGAACACTTCTTCAATAACTATTATGTAAATATTCTCTCTCTTGGTTTCTGTGTTGTTTGGATGCTGTCCCATGGACTCATATCACGCATCTTGGGTTAACTTTCAAATAAAACAATTGACAGGATTTTCAGTTGCACAACAATTTCCGGAAAAAACCTAAATCAGATATGATGTAACCAAAAGTTTGGACTTGCAAGTACTCTATATTTTACTTACCTGGTGAGTGGTTTATAATTAACAAGTTAATGGTGTTTATGCTGTGCGTTTAACCAGTAACATGTTGCATGCTAAATAACTACGCCGGTTATTATTTATTAGAAGAATTATTTCACAATTTCATATTTTCCAGGAAATGCCTCGAAATATTGGTTTTATACGAACAATGTAGTAATGTTGCTATTTAAGTGACATTAACAACAGCTACGTCACTTGAACCATTGAAAACTACACCTTTCATTAGCAGACCTTTGTTGTACGTCACCAACGAGAAAAATATAGGTAATTGTACATATCTACACGGCTCGCCAAATGATGTTAGCTTATTTAGTTTAAATTGTCGTGTATACATTAATATATCGATTGTATTATAACAGTTTACTGCGTTTAAACAATTGTTATATCAGTCTTTAAGCGACACAGATAACTCACAGTAATTGTTATTTCAGAAACATTATAATCATCATACACATCATATATATAAACTAGTAAACGTAATGTATAGTTGTTCTCTGGATCTCCCATCGGCAGATATATTTCATTTGCAGTCCTTTCTCCTAAAATGTATAAACAAAAATAATATGTTAAATAATTCAATATTTTTATTATAGTGACGCTATATTTATGTCACATTTTATACATCCTATCTAGTTGGCAATAAATACTAGAGTTAGGATGGAGAATAACTATATATTTTCACAAATTATAAATGTATCTATACAAGGCTTATAAACAGATAGAATGCGAGGCTGTGCCGAGCCGACTACAAATAAAACGTATGTTATGATACCCCATATCCTTTGTTTTTCTATTATGAGACAAGGTTTGGTTGTTCTCTTTATACTACAATTCTTTAAATTGTCCCAATGAAATACTTCGGGTAAATCAACACTTTTGAATTTTGAAGCAGACGACGTACAATCCCACGAAAACGCATTCTTTCAAAACGTCTACAAATAAACTGTACGGAAACAAATTATCAACGTCACAAATAAAGCTTTATACGATCAGTGACTGTATAAAGCCAACGTTTATACGTCAATGCATTTTGACTGCTCAAAACAGCAGAGTTGCACAACAAAGTAGATTTATTTTGATAACTTTCTGATATGTTAAGAATATATAAACTATAAATATATTTTAATACATGAATACTTGTTGTTTTGAACTTTCAGTAAGATGTGAGTGTTTACGCAGTGGTGATTCGACCGCCGGGTAATGCATGCATGGCAGTGTAAGCTTGCCATGTCGACCAAACCAGTCTCACTCCCCGTTTGGAGTTCATGCGTTTATTATTTTGGTTCGTAGGTGTATCACTGTTGCTTCCGGTTTTTTTAAAGCCCCAATATGCCTGTTAGATTACGAATATCAATAAATGAATGGTTCCTCTTCTTTTAGTTTAATGATTTGCATGTATGGTTTTTTTGTCGTGATATATACTTTATTTTCTTTGTTTTTCATTAAAACTTCTTCAAATAAAAATACTGAGAAGTGGTATGATGCACATTGAGCCACCTATCCACCAGAATCCAAATGAATTGGTTGTAAATAACCATCGGTAACCGTACGGATTTCAACAGTGAGCAAAACCAATAACCTAGTGTCAGCTATAAAAGCCTCGACATGACAAAGTGTGAAACAATTCAAAAAAGAAAAACGAAACGAATGTATGATAGACAGCAATTAACGACAACCATTGAAATACAGTCTCCTGAATTTGAACATGCCCATACAGAATTTGGCGAGTTAAATATGTAATACTATGTAATTTAAAACAATATATTGAGCGATTTGATTGTTTGTTTATATATCTTTCCACCACTATATATGGAGTTTTTGGTATATAATTTGAAAAAATATTTAAGTACAATGGTTACCCCCAATTTGAAAAGAAGTAATTTTCTCATCAGTGCCATCTTTTTCTGTGGTTAAAAACGCAAACTTCAGAAAATTATCTGCCTCTGTGTCTCTTGTATCATTACGCCCCCTGTTAATTCCTTCATCTTTCCAGCCATTACATGATATCTTAAATGCAGTCCTCGCAGCATAACCTATTTAAACAAAAAAAAAAACAATAATTTTAAATGAAAACAAGATTGATGTTTATGAAACAAGCATTAAAAGGTATTTTTGAGACCAAAAGTTTGAAATGACAAATATCTATTTTGTATAGCATAAAACTACTATAACCTATAAAAAGCCGTCAGAACCGTATAAAACTAAGCAGATGGAGGTGCAACCTTACATAAGATGTAAATGTATAATCTGTGAACTGGATATTTACTTCCTGCCAAAATGTCTTTTTATATTATATCAGTTCAGAAGCTGGGCTAATAGTACACTCGCGGACAGATAGTTCAACACCATAGTACCAATCAAATGATAGTTAAAAATTAACTTTGTATACGGATTTCAGGAATTACATTAAATTGCTACGTTAAAGACGAAGAGTATGGAAATCAAATATGTAGAAACATTTGGAACATATAAATCAAAAGGGGCCTTAAAAAATAACCAACAGATCAGAATGACTATTATCTCAGTATTCAGTACTTCCGTACTGACAGGATGTATGTAAAGTAATCTTTCTTAATGTTATTTAATTTATGAAATGATTAAGGAACTAAGGTTCCAAATATCTCTTGCAAAATTCATTCAAGATGGATTTGGCTATTCCTTTATGTCCCTTTTGGTTATATATCTCCTAAAGTTTTCATGTATTTCGAAATCCTTGGCTTTCATTTGTTTGAAATTGAGAGTTCCTGTTTAGGTTAAACCATTTGAAAAGTGTTTCGGACGCACCGTATTTATAAAGTGCTTTTTTCATTTCTTCCACTGAGTCGATACCGCTACTTGAGGACTGTTGGTCCATGAAGGTATCTTGAGGACTGTTGGTCCACGGAGGTATCTTTGGTGAGGTTAGTTGTCCGTGTTTTGGTACTCTCTCTATTTATCACATATGTATTTTCATAAATTCTTCGTAGACAAAATAAGAAATTATTAAGAAAAAATATTCCTTTGGTGGGTTTGTCTTTTAGGGTTCCTTTCGGTGATAACGCTCCCCAAATATCTAAAGTATTTATATACATACATAAGTTCGTGGCTGTCAAAAGGTATCGTTTACGCATTCTTGTTGAAAACACCGAACTCCAAGGAAAATTTCAAACGGAAAGTTCCTCACCAAATAGAAAAACCAAAAGCCCAAACAGATCAAACGAATGGAAAACAACTTCCACACTCACGACCCGGCACAGGCATCTCCTTATGTAGAAAACGGTGGACCAAACCTAGCTGCACATCCCCTGATTAGCACGCTTCGGACGCATCAAAATTCTAAAGTTTTATTTTTATTATTTAGCACTTGTTGTATACCCCTACTCATGGAATGTTAGTCCTTAATGTTATTATCAGCTTAGTAGTCAGTGCTGCGCTACTGACTTGATTTATTCATAACAAAATTTAAATTATCTGTTGATAATTTAGAAATGATTAAGAAAGTAAGATCCCAGGTAATATTTACCTTTATTTGATCATTTTATTACCACGCTGAAGTACGTCCATTATTCATTTTTCATTATTCAAAATTCAATAATGAATAATGAAATAGTTCACTATTCACTATTCAATATCAAGTGATGAATAATAAATAATGAAAAAGTTTATGTTTCATTATTCAAGTTAAAGCGGTGAATAGTGAAATAAAAATAAAAAAATTGACTGTGACATTTTAGCTATATCCCGTATTTCTAAATTAGTCTTGTTGGTGTTATCTAACAAATATTCAAATTGCTATCAGAAAAAAATAAATAAAAACACTCTTTAAATTCTAATTTGATTTATTTATCTGGTTCCTAGTTTCGGAGGATAAACTAGTGGGTTTTCCTAACTATTTTTAACAGAAATTCCTTGGTTCAATGTATGGACGACTGAATACCAAAACATATATTTATAAATTAAAATACTCTACGTGGTCTTTTTTTATTTTCACTGGACCTTTGCTATTCTTCATCCACTAATTATAGATATAACAAGTCGATTGTTCAGCAATGACCATTAGATGGGTTACGGAGGACCTAAATGCCAAAATACGCGTGAAAATTAAGAAATAGCCAATTTTGGGTCCCATTTGTTCATAGAATTCCGTAAGTATTTAAGTACTTCCTAATACTTGAACATCAAATATTTAGTTGTGATCGTTCTTGGTGAAGGTTCTTTGGACGAACCAAATTAATAAAGTGTTACTTTTGTTTTATCTTGTGAGAGCAGGGGCCCTTACGTTTTGTAAAACTTACAGGCTATATAATATTATATTTGATTCATGTTTAAGAAAATACAGCTTCGGAATGAATAGTGCAAACTGACCATTTACTGGGTCTGCTATACATTTTCCGCCATATGGAGCTTGGTTGGTGACAATTGTCATTGCTGCACGTCCATAACGTGCAAATTGGGAACCGGAGACTCTCACATATAAGATGTACTCCCTATCTACTTGTAATGTATCAGAATTTATCGCAAGACTTTTCTCATTCATCCCTGAAATGTATCATTCAATGAAAGATGTTTATTTTTGTCATGAGTTAGGGGGCTACCATTTGATTTTTAGGGGGTGGGGAGGCTAGGATGAAATTTGAAAAAAGGCAGGACAGGAGTTTTGAGTAAAAAAAAAGGCAGGATGAGCAACTTGGCAAAAAAAAAGGCAGGATTACAATTTATGTTAAAAAAGTCAGGATAAACTAATAAAAAAAAAGGCAGGACCGAATAGAGTGAAAAATAAAAAAGCAGGACAGAGATTACAATTTAAAAAAAAATGCAGGACAAAATTTTTCATCCTAGCCCCCCCCCCCACACACAAAAATCAAATGGTAGCTCACTTATTTTAAGGTAAATTAGAATTTAGACCAAAACTGGAGGTAAACATGTTTTATCACTTTATTTTGTCTTTGTCTTTTAATAAAATTGAGAATGGAAATGGGGAATGTGTCAAAGAGACAACAATCCGACCATAGAGTAGACAACAGCCGAAGGCCACAAATAGGTCTTCAATGCAGCGAGAAAATCCCGCACCCGGAGGCGTCCTTCAGCCTAATATGCCTATTTGTTGTCTTAAAATGTCAACTGCTAAATTTTGATGAATGTGTATAGCCTAACCAATTTTCAAAACTAATGTATCATATAAAAAAATGTTATATAATAGAAACAAACTAAAACACAAGCTGTGTATGCAGTAACAATGTAAGCGGCTTCAAGTACTTTATTTTTTATTGTGATATTATCAAGCAATCAACCGTAGGCTTCGAGCACTATACATTTTTATAATGAAATCATGTCACATAATACTAATTTATCGGGTTTTGAACTTTCATAGTCTTGAATGGCTGAAGAACGCGTTATCTGAATCATGTCCGTGAAAGCTATCAAGCGTACTATGAACTTTGGTGGAAAGTGGTCTCAATGGCAATCATACCACATCTCCTTATTTTTATATTGGCATTTAGTTTCTATAGTTTAAAATATTCAAAATTATACATATTTTCAATTTGAAAAAATCA